TAATGCAATATAGGCCTATTCATGTTACAATTGCACATAATGATACATATTTTAATATATAACTTATCGTGGTTAATTGTAATGTCGGGAACTTTACATTTTGCAGCAAATTTATTCTTATTTGTTTTGAAACATAATATTGTAAAACAAATATATTATGTTTTGTTTAAAAAAAATGTTGTATGCACCAGGTTAATGTTGAATAATGTGCATAAATGTAGCTTTGCAGCAGCTCTTTTACTTAAAAGATCGATATAGCACTAGTAGTGAACAATTTTATATCTATACTATTATAACATTGATTTTTAATAAACATGATACTCTTTTGAAAGTATTATTTTTTCTTTATGACCTAGTCTATTGAAAAGTTTAAACTCGTCTAAATAATGTAACTATGGAAATTGCAGTGTTAAATGGTTGACAACGTTGACATACCAGATTTAGTTAAACTTTATATATTCTTTTTAAGCTGAATTCCACTTCTTGATTTTCACGTTATTTTTTATAAACATTTGGAATTTCCTTGCGATTGATGATAACAGAAATTTCCTTTATACCCATACGCATAAGCTTGAATAGGAGAGGTACATTAAACACTAATATGTAGGTTTTTGCTTTTCCAGGAAATTGAAATTTAACGAGTCTGTGAGTTTTCTGCAACAGAGAAAGTCTTATGTAATTTACATAAAAAATAAAAATAAAATTATGTTCAGTTTAGGTAAAAGAATGTGCTTAGTTTGTGTTTATAAAACTATACGATACTTTATTTTATAGATTTCCGTATTCCATGTTGTGTAATCAACATCAATACAGCATTGATATCCTGACACCCAAAGCGCGGGAACAACGTTCTGTCTGAAACTAGTAGAACAACGTGCTTAAAATCAAAATGGCCTACGTAGTTCGGACCAACTCGGCCCAGCGCGCCACCGTAATTTCGTAAAACTTTATTCACAACAGTCAATACCTCAGAGCTCGCCGCAGCAGATATGCCTGCGTGGTGTAGTGGCTAGCGCTCTCACTCTTCTAACGGGAGGTCCCGAGTTCGAATCTTGGTCGTGACACTAACTTTTTGAATCGAAATCTGTTATTTAAGCTGTGTAGAAAGAATCAATTATTTTTTTGTCATCAGAAGTCATTTTGTAGTTCAACTAAGATATATTGAATTTTTGTTTTAAACATAATTAACTTTCCCAACAAATCAATTGGTAAATCAACTTAGGCTACTTTCTTAATCAATGTTATGAGATTGAGTAGGCCTAATTTTCTTTAGAAGTCAGAAGTAGGCTAAGTTACTTATGTTAGTTATGTATTGCTGAATACACTAAGGTTTTTCTTTAAACTTTATAAGTTTTATATATAGGCTACTTGAATACTAGGCCTATATACATCCAAAGGAATGAATGCAACTTTAATAACCAAATCACATTCCATTTGTATAAAAAATCTAAATATGTAGGCCTAACTTAGTTTGAGAAGCTTGTATTATTATACAGGTAAGCTTATTATTGTACCTAGCTTGAACATATTAGGTTTATTATAATTTGTCCTACCTGTAGGTCCATTGTGATATAGTTTAACTAATCAAAACTATTGTGTAGTGTTTTTGTAAACAAACTCTTCCTTTCGTAAATTAAACAAGGCCCTATTATTCATTTTTGTCTTCGTTTTTATTCAGCTGATGCCAAATGTATAAAAGTTTGGTACAAACGACATCATAGGCCTACCAATGGAAAATATATTGATACGTAATAATTATAGACCTACTAACTTAGGCCTAATTAAACTGATCTAAGTTATCAATGGTTCAAGCGCGTTGTGATTTCCATGAGTAAAATCATTGTTTAGTGTTTTTGGTGGACCAAGTTTACTTCCAGCCTAAAAATGGAAATATATTGATATGTAATGATAGACCTACTAGGCCTAATTATACTGATCTATCTATGGTTCAAGCGCGTTGTGCTTTCCTTAAGTAAAATGAGTGTGTGTTTTTGGTGGACTACTTCCGACCTAGTTCCATTACTCATACTAATATTATCTATAGTATAACTGAGCATATAATTAATTCTAGTAGGTAATAGTTTATGGTTTTATCTCACCTAGTTTTCAAAAATTAAATTATTGATGTATCGCCAAATAAACTCGCCGTCGCTGAACTTTGTCTCAAGCAAAACCTTTTTACTTACTCTCCGTATTAACTCAGCTTCAGCAACTCAACAATGAGATTTCATTCGGATTTTTAAAACAATCCAAACACATGGCGCTAGCACACTCTTGGACCCAATGTGTAGACCAATGTCAAAGACGTTAGGATTAATTTTGATAGCCATTTAAGTTTTAATTTGTTAGATAATATATATGTTGAGCGATCCTTGTAGTTAAATCCATAGTTGAATAACCTTGAGACCTATCTATATAATTCCTAACTCATATCAGCTCTATAGGAATGCTATTGTAAATATTGAATTATAAGTCTCTGATATTATTTTTATTTATAAGTATTATATAAGCCATTTTGTAAATTCCTGTGTGTGTGTATATATATATGTAGACCTCTGTAAGGCATGTTTTAAAAATGTTATGACTTAGCTAAAGCAACACTTGTTTTGTTAATATACTGGTTAAATAAATGATTAGATTTGATTTGATGTAACATTTATGAATTAATTGGTTGCAAGAATACAAACATGAAGCAAAATTATAACATAATTACGAGTTGTCGAGTTGCCTCGCTTGAAATTTGCAATCAAGATTTTGGTCTTAGCTGTATGCTACCATTGATTATACACCTCCTTGGAAAGTTGTATAAACGGCTTTACCTGCATGGTTTATTCTAAGTTAAATCAAAAACGGCTTTTTATAAAATCCCACTTGTTGTTACTTTATGGGGTTTATGGGAAAATAACATAATTTACAATAACTTTTAAACCGTATTTTTTACAGAAATGGTAGTTCTACCATTATGTTCAGAATTTAAAGGGCTAAAACATACTAAATTTTTATCAAAATCGTTCGGGCTATTTTTGGGAATATCCGATTTTACAGTTATTTTATGAGGTTTTTATGGGAAAATAACTTAATTTACAATAACTTTTGAACCGTAATTTTTACAGAAATGGGATTTGTACCATTTTGTTCAGAATATAAAGGACTATAACATACTAAATCTTTAACAAAATCGTTCGGGCTATTTTTGGGAATATCCTATTTTACCGTTATTTTGTGGGGTTTTTATGGGAAAATAACTCAATTTACAATAACTTTTTAACCTTAATTTTTACATAAATGGGATTTGTACCATTTTCTTTAGAATATAAAGGACTATAACATCCTAAATTTTTATCAAAATCGTTCGGGCCGTTTTTGGGAAAATCCTATTTTTCCGTTATTTTATGGGGTATTATGGGAAAATCCCCATAAAAAATTATTTTTTTAATGAAAAAACTATCAAAACTTTAAGGACCATAACATACTATGTTAAATTAAAACTAGATTTTTTTCTAAAACCCTATTTTTCGTTATTTTACGGGGTTTTTATGGGAAAATAACATAATTTACCATAACTTTTGAACCGTAATTTTTAGAGAAATGGAATTTGTACCATTTTGTTCAGAATTTAAAGGGCTACAACATACTAAATTTTTATCAAAATCGTTCGGACCATTTTTGAGAAAATCTGATTTTTCCGGTTTTTTATGGGTTTTTATGGGAAAATCCCCATTAAAAATCAAAATTTCAAAAAAATGAAAAAAACGCCTGGAGATACCATGGATTAGAACCTACATACCAAATTTCATCGAAATCGGACCACAGGTGTAGTCTCTAGCTCTGTACACATCCAGACACACAGACACACAGACACACAGACACACACACACACACACACACAGACATCACTTCGAAAACCACTTTTTTGGGTCCAGGGGGACCCAAAACGAATATATCCACTCAAAACTCAAACTCGAAAATTTTGACGAAAACAATACTTTCTCCATATACTATGGTATAGGGGGAGAAAGTAAAAAACGCCTGGAGATACCATGGATTAGAACCTACATACCAAATTTAATCAAAATCGGACCACAGGTGAGGTCTGTAGCTCTGTACTCAATCACACTCACAGACATCAATTCGAAAACCACTTTTTTGGTCCAGGGGGACCCAAAACGTATGTATCCACTCAAAACTCAAACTCAAAAATTTTGACAAAAACAATACTTTTTCAATACCGGTATACTGTGGTATAGGGGGAGAAAGTAAAAATTAGGTTAAAGATGTAGAGCACAAGGACCTCGATTAAGAATTATTGTTACAATATCAGGTTTACTTAAAAGAGAAATAGGCCACTCTGGCACAAGAAACACATAGCTATACCTTTCTTAGAAGCGATGTTTGAAAATGGTTCCATAAATTTTGAAACAAAACTAGTATCCACCACAATCATATCCGTTAACAGGTGATAAAACTTACCATAAAATAATACAATAAACTATACACGATTGATTTAAAATGTCGCTGTCACTGACAGTATTTTCAACCATAGAAGGTGAGAGTTGAATAAAGAGAGTGAAATATTCTAATCTAATCTTTGTACACAGTATAAATATTTTCTTGTGCCAGAGTGGATTCTTTACATTTTAGATGCCTATCACAACAAAACTCAGTTAAAATAGTATTTTTCTAAAGGCCTAATCCCCGTGGATCCTGATTTTCATTGTCACCATCATCAAAAGCAGCCCCAACCTCTAATTTGCTGGTAAGCCCTTACAAGTAAAACGCAGACTTTTCCTCTGTCATTGGGTTGTATAATTTCCTATGGTGATTTAAGCATGACTGGTTTATAATTGTACACTTGTAAGCTTAATCATTGAAAAAATATTGGATATTTTGCATAATTACAATAAACTAACACTTTTATCTCCACTGTAGGGAATGAAATATTTTACACAAAATATTAATTCCCACAAACAAAATCCGGAAGGAATAACTAAAAGACTAACCTCAACCATGTCAGTGGATAATGTGATTAGAACGCAGGCAAACGCAGCCTGTAGCATGTGACGAAGGGAGAGCAGAAACCGAGGCAGATAGTCTGGCTGAGGCCACAACGGGGAACCGAGGCTGTGTAGAACGATCCGCAGAACTGTCCTGCGTGGCTGCGCGAGCTTCACACTGTGACCTTGCTTCTGTATGTGGCTGTACAGGTCTGACAGAAGCGCAGAATACGGATTCTCACAGTCTGTTAGGAGATTTAACAGAATCATAATTCAAATCATTCACAATTTAGAAAATAATTAGAATTGACCATACCACTAGACAGGCAGTTATATGGGATAGAATTAAACACAAAAAATGTACAGTGTAATAAACGTTGTCTAGCTATTATCATTGTCATCTACTCCAATTTCAGCCAAATACTGAACATTTCCCTGTAGTCAAGTATACATCATTGTTCTCTACGATTGGGGAAAAATCCTGATCATCTACCGCAGTCATATAAATATCATCATCGCCTCTCACTTACATAGATTTCACGATCACTTATTGTCATCATCTGCTGCGGCAAAAGCGTTAATTTTTTGACTACACACTATTTGCAGACAAGCCCTGCAATCGCGATTGTTAAAGCTGGGTTCAAGCTCGATTTTCAAACTTGGTGCTTGATCTTGTAGGCTGAGTAAATCGATCCGCTAGCACATTTCTGGTATTATTTAGTT